GAACTAACTTTCAAAAGACTTACTTTAACAAGGCAGAACTAACTTCTATTGTTCAACTCCAGTAACTGATTTTTTTTTCATATCACAATTACTTTAACAAATAATATATTAATCATTGAAGACTAAATAAATTGAAACATCATTTGCAACGAATACTAGAACTACATTTAATCAAAACGAACTAACACAATTTTATAAAATAAATAAAACTAATGACTACTACTCATGTAAAGAACTATGATTACATGATATTTATTCACTAACTACTATGAATAGGCAAAAATAAAAATTAAACTACTCAATCATCTTTAATCACGGATCCATCACCGATCAAGTGGTCTATTTTCCCATCAGGGTGCTCAAAGAAGTCTGCCACATCCAAGTGGGTGATGTCAAAATCATTGTCAGAGACAAAATTAGCTTCAGGGCCTTTGTTCTCTAGAGATGCTTGATAAAGCTCAACCAAATGTCTTGGTACACGACAATTATTTGCCCAATGGCCTTTTCCACCGCAACGATAACAATCGGTTTCTGTACCATTTGCCTTTGGTTTCTCATCTTTCCCTTTCCACTTTTGGTGGTTATTTTTCTTTGGGGGGTGATCAACACCAGGAATATTTCTTCCTTGTCCACGGCCACGACCACGACCACGACTACGAATAGGGCCACGACCCTTTCCACGCTTAACATAATGGGAATACACCTCATCCACTTCAGGCAATGGTGTAGACCCAGTGGGTCGATTTTCGTGATTTCTCATGAGCAAGTCATTGTTTCGCTCAGCCACAAGGAGAAGAGAAATCAACTCAGGGTACTTTTTTAAGCCTTTCTCTCTGTATTGTTGTTGCAAGACCATATTGGAGGCATGAAACGTTGTGAACGTTTTTTCAAACGTATCATAATCAGTGATAGTATCTCCACAGAGTTTCAATTTAGAAGTAATTCTGAACATTGCAGAATTATATTCAGAAACAGACTTAAAGTCTTGGAGCCTCAGATGAGCCCAATCATATCGTGCTTGTGGAAGAGTGACCAACTTTAAGTTGTCATATCTTTCCTTTAAGCCATTCCACAAAACAAGTGGATCTTTGACTGTGAGATATTCTATTTTCAACCATTCATCAAGGTGATGGCGCAAGAAAATCAAGGCCTTAGCACAATCTTGGGTGGATACTTTAGTTTTGTCTTTAATGGCATCTCCAAGACTCATTGCATCTAAATGGATTTCAGTATCCAACACTCATGTCATATAGTTCTTGCCCGAAATTTCAAGGGCAACGAACTTTCTTTTCATAATATCAGTCATAATTAAAAGAGAAAAAAAGTTGTACCTTAATCTTCTTGAGACGGTAGACTCTCATGCTGATAATGTGTTATAAAACAATAAAAGAAGAAGAACAATATTGCAGAGAAAGAGAGAGAGAAAATTCTTATTGAATTTTGGGATGATTTACAATGGGGTAAGACCCCTTTATTTATAGGGGAAAAATGACTTAGCCACAAAGTAAAACTCTCTACAAGATAGACATTCACTCTAAATAGAATTCTATTCATAACAAAAATAGAATTATAGGACTAAAGTTTCATAATTATAAAAATGAAATCAACGACATTAAAAATAGGACAACAACAACAACCACCCAGTATAATCCCACAAGTGGGGTCGGGTAGGATATACACAGCCTTACCCCTATCCTAGAAGGGCAAAGAGACTATTTCTGATAGACCCTCGGCTAAAGAAGGTGAAATAAACCCTGATAGCAAGTAATAGCAAGACAAATAATTAGAAAACTAAATCGAAGATAGCAACAGAGAATATGAAAGAGGTACCGATAACAAGTAATATCAAGATAATATATTTAGAAAACTAAATCCAAGACAACAAACGAGAATATGAACGAAGTACTGCTAGCAAACTACGGAATTACCGATGTCAAGTAATAACGGAACAAGACATGTGAATATAGCAAACTAAGGAAAAAAGGGTATCGTACTAGCACTAATACTATCGAACTAGAGAAGACAAAGGGAAACGCACGACTACCTACTAACCTTCTACCCTAATCTTCAACCTCCACACCCTTCTATCTAGGGTCATGTCCACGGTTAGCTCAAGCTGCGTCATGTCTCGCCTGATCACCTCTCCCCAAGACTTCTTTAGCCTACCTCTACCCCTCCTCTCACCTCCCAAGTCCAACCTTTCACATCTCCTGACTGGGGCATCTGTGCTTCTCTTCTTAACATACCTGAACCATCTTAACCTCGCCTCACACATCTTTGCCTCCACAGGGGCCACTCCCACCGTGTCTCGAATAACATCTTTCATGATTCTATCAAACCTAGTATGCCCACACATCCATCTCAACATCCTCATTTTCAATACTTTCATCTGCTGGACATAGGAGTTTTTGACTGGCCAACACTCTACCTCATACAACATAGTCGGTCTAACCACTACCTTGTAGAACTTACCATTAAGTCTCAACGGTACATCCTTATCACACAAGACACCGAAAGTGAGCCTCCACTTCTTCCACCCTGCTTCGATATGGTGTATGACATCCTCATCTATCTCCCCATCCTTCTGAATTATAGACCCCAGATACTTGAAACTCTCTCTCCTGAGAATGACTTGTGTATCGAGTCTCACATCCCCGTCCGCCTCTTGGGTAACACCGTTGAACTTGCACTCCAAGTACTCCATCTTGGTCCTGCTCAATTTGAAACCCTTAAATTCCAGAGTATGTCTCTAGACCTCCAACCTCTCGTTAACGCCACCTCGCGTCTCATCAATCAGGACTACGTCATCCACAAATAACAAGCACCAAGGCACCTTCCCTTGAATGTGTCGCGTCAAAGAATCCATAGCCAGGGAAAACAAAAACAGGCAAAGTGTTGATCCCTGATGCAACCCCGTCCTCTAACCTCCAAACATCTCCATAGAAACTGCCGGGACTTTGTCATAGGCTTTCTCCAGGTTAATGAACACCATATGCAAATCCTTCTTCACTGCCCTATACTGCTCCATCAATCCTCTCATAATGTGAATGGCCTCAGTAGTCGACCGTCCCGGCATGAAACCAAACTGGTTCTCGGAAATGGATACACACCTCCTCAACCTCCCTTCAATCACCCTCTCCCACACTTTCATCGTGTGGCTTAAAAACTTGATACTCATATAGTTGTTGCAGTTTTGGACATTCCCCTTGTTGTTGTACAACGGGATCATCATACTCCGCCTCCACTCTTCGGGCATCTTCTTCGTCCTAAAAATGACGTTAAACAACCTAGCAAGCCATTCCAAGCCTTCCTTACCCACTCTCTTCCAGAATTCCGCCGGGATCTCGTCCGGCCCAGTCGCTCTACCCCTACTCATCCTGCGCATACCCCCTACAACCTCCCCCACTCGTATGCGTCTACAGTACCCAAAATTTTGCTGCCGCTCAGAGTACTCCAACTCCCTTAGCACAATGCTCCTATCTCCCTCTTCATTTAAGAGTTTATGGAAGCAAGACCGCCATCTCTGCCTAATCTGTGCCCCCTCCAATAAAACTCTACCCTCCTCGCCTTTTATGCACCTCACTTGGTCCAGATTCCGGGCTTTCCGCTCCCTCACCTTTGCCAGCCTGTACAACTTCTTGTCCCCGCCTTTATCCCCAATTTCTTCGAGCCATTGTTTAAGTTTTAACTCCATTTAAATAAGCTCTGTAGAAATAGTGTTCAGATCATAAGTAGGAGTCTAGTTCTTGGCGAATTACCAGAAGACTTCTCTTGCTACAAGTTATGGCAATTCGTCATGAGTTTCTGATAGATGGACTTGCCACGAGTCTTGATGGATTGTCAGGACTTTAGTACAAATAGTTCACAATTCCTAGCGTTTTACCGTAAGTTTATGAGAAATATCATCAACATGTTTTTACTTCATAGATAATCCAAGTCAACTCCAAATTTGATATCCAACATTCTAATACCAATCACGACAATTCCCAAAGGTTAGATTTAACTCAAACTTTCAAAAACAATAGATTCAATTTGTCTCTTCAACAAGCAAGCTCAACAATTGCCAGATTGATGGTTTTGTTTGGTTAAAAACCAACAATAACACCTTTAGGGGTCATTTGGTAGGGTGCATAAGAATAATGCTAAATATGGTGTATTAGTAATGCTAGTATTAGTTATGCTGGTATTAGTTATGCTGACATATTTCTTATCCATTGTTTGGTTTGATGTATTAAAGTATTGCACAATTTCTAAAAGAATTATTTATTTACAAAAATACCCTCAAATCTAGTCCACACTCTAACTTTTTAAAAGAAATATATGTTGAGAAATATTTTTATATGAAAAAGTTTTAAAAAAATTATTTTATTTGTCTACCTATGTTGTAAAATAAAATTAAATATTTATTTATAAAAAAGGAAATATGCTAAGTATTTATTTATTTACTAGGGATATAATTTTATTTCTCACTATTTGGATTATTTTGAACTTGCATTAATATACTAACTAGTATATTTTAATAAAACATAAATTTTGAAGGACAATTCTGTCTTTAACTAAGCTAATACATGCATTAAAATCCATTACATTGCTAATATCATTGTTTTCTATGCATTAGTTATACATAGGATAATACCAAATAAGATGTATAACTAATGTCTGCATAACTAATGCATAAGTTCAAAATGTCTACCAAATAATGTATTATTAATACACAAAGCTAATGCATGCATTAATTTATCTAATGCATCCTACCAAACGACCCCTTAGTATTTAAGGTAATAGAAATTATGAAACCTGCCACATGCAAAGTTTTTCCTTTCTTTGTTTCAAATGAAAATATTGCTGGTTATGTTCAACATATATATCAAAAAGCTAAAATTGATCAACAATTCAAAATAAATCATCTTAAAAATTAATGCGTGATTTGATATAGGAAATGGCACTGAACTAGAAGAACTGATAATTTTTTTTATAAAAATTTGGCAGGTAAAAAAATGAACTTAAAACAACCCAATTTCAATTGATTTTTTGCCCCATTAGCAATTTTTAAGCTAGTCAATACATGAATATAACACACTCTTGATGATCCAATGGACAAAATATTGTTTAATGTAAAATTTCTTTTCCATCGAATACCAGCTCGTCTGGAAAGAGCCCTATCTCCTTGGGCTTTAAATCCCTTCGAAAAAGAGAATCGATCATCTTCGCCTTCAAATAGGGATTGAGAGACTTTCCCCTACCCAACCTGAATTCTAAGGGTAATCGATGTGAACCATAGAGTTTAGAAGCAACCGCTTTTAGTCGTTCCCAACGTTTAGATTGAGTAGACATCAAAGGAGAGAGAAGGGGTTTATGAATCACTCAAACGAGCCTTTCTAGCTGCATTTGAATCGGCATCCCTATCCATATGTTTATGCGCAGGGGCATCCAAGAGAGAGAGAGATTTAACTGCTTTAATTTTTCTTTTTTCTACGAATTGCTTCATTGTTCAGTCGACCTCTCGAAGGATGCTTGCATTTTCTCAAGAAATATGACCTACAAAACACATTGGATTATGTAAGTCAACGTAAAAATTGCTGGGAAGCCAAAGGGTTTAAAATGATAACTATATTAAGTGACATTGCTTTAAGTGTTGATAATTTTCGATCTCTTATTACGCATGTAACCAACATTCTCTTAGCATATTTTCCATAAGATTAGGAAATCACTCCCCAAAGTTAGCCACAATTTGTTTTGTCTATTAAGTCAAAAATGTAAAAATATGTTTTGTACACTTCAGCAACCAAACAAAAAGACCAAAACAAAGATTATCTCCAAAGAAGAGAATACTTGCCTTGATCCCTGACTGGAGTTTCTCCATCAGTAACAACTTGAAATTTCCATATTGGTGTTTCTCCATTAGTGACAACCTCAAACATTACACGATCTCCTTTCTTTAAGGAGTTATCAACAATGAATTTACGCCATCCATCTCCAATATAGGCTTCAGTTTTGTTTTTCCAAGAGTTTAGCTTAAAATTCCACAACCTTTGCCTTTTATCTCTTATAATCAAACCGCTCTGTAAGAGATGAAAGACAAAGGTCGTGGAATTTTAAGCTAAACTCTTCGAAAAACAAAACTGAACCCTCAGGGGTTGGCCTGGTAGCAATTGACTTGAGCCTTAGGGTTTGCTCCCTTTCAAGGTCTCAAGTTCGAAACCCACTAGGTGCAAACAATTTCTGAGGGCCATCGGACTGGGTAAAACCTGAATTAACCGTGGTGCACTTGCGGGAAACTCCTTGCCGAGGGCTTGTGCACCCTCGGGATTAGTCGGGGCTCTTAGAGACTCGGACACCCGGTGCAAATAAAAAAAAATAAAAAAATCAAACCGCTCTTGTTGGCGAGACCATTTGCGATTGCAAATTGTTTAGGAAGGTACTGAAATTGTGTATAACCATTTGTACACATCATAAAACAGTTCATATTTGAGTTCATATTTGACTTCAATTAACAGAGGAATATACGAAAAATGGTGCACATATGCTTCCTTTAGATTCTTGAAGAGTATGCACGAAATGAGTTTTGAGACTTACCAAGAAACCGCTCGAAAGGCAATATTCCCCAAGAGTGCATTTAAAATAAGATTGACCAAAAGGCTTTTTGGTAGCAGCTTCTACATGGGAAGAAGCCTTGTTTGACAACTTGATTCTGGGGCTCGGTTTATCTGTTACATTGTCAAGCGATTAAATATGACAAATAATGATACTTAAAAGATGAACAAAAGCCAGATATCCACCCCACCTAGATAATATCAGTTTTTCTTGTAAATTAAGCATGTTGTTTATGTATTCAGACACGGATCCAGGATTTGATCGTAGAGGGAAACCACTATTTTTAACATAGATATGTCAGCTAGTAGCAACAAATTTTGGCGTGCTAACTCCTTGAAAACTTAATGATTATGAGTCAGTGACCGTAAGATGTTCAAAAGAATCAAAAACTTGCTCAAATAAGATCAGATTAAAGGTTTGTTAAGCAGTCCAAACAGAGTCTCGGTCACCGTCGTTGAATCGACAGACANAGAAGGTGATTGGCTTCTTGCTAATGGAATATCTTATCCCCTTCCAATTTCCTTTAATCTTTTTGTCTCTCTCTATTGCTTTTCGATGTCTAGAATGATGATTCTCAAAAAGAGTTTTTGACTATTTTGTGTAGAAATTCTGAAGCAATAATTATAGAGAGAAGCTTGGTTTGAGGGTATTGAGAGAGAGATTTGAAGGGAAAAAAGCTATACTAAGTTGACTACTATATACTAGTGCTAAATTATTGTTGAACTTAGAAAAGATAAAGGAAAAAAAACAAGTTAAGCACTAAATACAGAATACTAAACTATCTTGAATTCAAGGAGGAAAAAACTAAAATGAAAAAGTGCAGAATTACGCTGGTGTAGGTCTCAATCTCCGTTCATCTAGTGAGGGAGGAGATAATGCTGCATGCTAAACCACCACAACAATCCAGCTTCTGCGTTTGAGGGGGCACATCAAAATTGTTTAGGGGGTCCTTGATGTATATACAAATATATATATATATATATATATATATATATTGTTTTTGCCGAGGCTAACGAGTTCCAGTGAACCCTCTACTCGAAATGTAGGTTTGAATGTATTATTTCCTTTAAAGGTTGCATAAGTGATCTAGAAAATAATTTCAAGAGTAATAGCATAAAAAAAAAAGTTGAGGACCGGAACTGGCCATTAAAGTTTCCACCCTATAAACTTGAGGGAATACATACAACAAACTGCACTTTAATACGACGTTGATTTAAAAGTTTAGAGCCAGCTGAGATAAAGTACGGGTAAATTTCATAAACGGTCATAAAATCATAAAACTTTCACTAAATCACACAAAAATCATAGTGACCGGCAAACACAAATTTAAGGTAGTATTTTCTTATTTCAAGTTTTTTATTTTTTACTTTCAGTTTAATAAATAATAACCCAATTAAAATAGGAGAAATATACTCCCTCCATTTCAATTTATGTGAACCTATTTCCTTTTTAGTCCGTGCCAAAAAGAATGACTCCTTTCCTTGTTTGGAAACAATTTACCTTTATGCAATGATTATAGCCACACAAAATATATGTGCCTCATTTTACACAAGTTTAAAAGCCTTCTCTCTTCTCTCTTCTCTTAAACTCTGTGCACAGTCAAATGAATTCACACAAATTGAAACGACAAAACTTTCTGGGAAGCCAAAGGGTTTTAAATGATAACTATATTACCTACAAAACATTAGATTATGTAAGTCAACGTAAAAATTTCTGGGAAGCCAAAGGGTTTAAAATGATAACTATATTAAGTGACATTGTTTTAAGTGTTAATAATTTTCGATCTGTTACGCATGTAACCAACATTCTCTTAGCATATTTTCCATAATATTAGGAAGTCACTCCCCAAAGTTAGCCACAATTTGTTTTGACTATTAAGTCAAAAATGTAAAAATAAGTTTTGTACACTACAGCAACCAAACAAAAAGACCAAAACAAAGATTATCCCCAAAGAAGAGAATACTTGCCTTGATCACAGACTGGAGTTTCTCCATCAGTAACAACTTGAAATTTCCATATTGGTGTTTCTCCATTAGTGACAACCTCAAACATTACACGATCTCCCTTCTTTAAGCAATTATCAACAATGAAATCCATCTCCAATATAGACTTCATTTTTGTTTTTCCGAGAGCTTAGCTTTAAATTCCACGACCTTTGTTTTTCATCTCTTATAATCAAACTGCACTTGTTGGCGAGACCATTTGCGATTGCAAATTGTTTAGGAAGGTACTGAAATGGTGTATAACCGTTTGTACACATCATAAACCAATTCATATTTGAATCCCATTAACAGAGGAATATGAAAAAATGGTGCACATAAGCTTTCCTTTAGCCTGAAGATTCTTGAAGAGTTTGCACGAAATGAGTTCTAAGACTTACCAAGAAACCACTCGAAAGGCAATATTCCCCAAGAGTGCATTTAAAATAAGAGTGACCAAAAGGCTTTTTGGTAGAAGCTTCTGCATGGGAAGAAGCCTTGTTTGACAACTTGATTCTGGGGCTCGGTTTATCTGTTACATTGTCAAGTAATTATGTATGATAAATAATGATACTTAAAAGATGAAGGGAATTTAGATACCCACCGCACCTTTTGGTTAAGACAATATAAGTTTTCGTTGTAAATTAAGCATTTTGTTTATATATTCAGACACGGATCCAGGATTTGAGCGTAGCGAGGATACCACTTACAATTTTTAAAATAGATATGTCGGCTAGTAGCGACAAAATTTGGCGTGCTAACTCCTTGAAAACTTAATGATTATGAGTCAGTGACCTAAAGGATGTTCAAAATTCTCAAAAACTTACTCAACTAAGATCAAGATTAAAGGTTTGTTAAGCAGTCCAAGCAGAGTCTTTGTCGTTGAATCGACGAACTTTTGCTTCTTTGCGAAGTGATTTTTGAAGGCAGAAGGACTTTTGGAGTTTCTCTATGGCTGTTTTTAGGGGGAAATTTTGCTGAATTACTTGTTTTTATACCGGTCAAGAAAATGGTGATGTTTATAAACTTAGTCATAAAGAAGGCCGTGACTGGCTTATTGCTAATGGAATATCTTATCCCCCTTCCAATTTCCTTTAATCTTTTTATGTCTCTCTCTATCACCTTTTCGACATCTAGAAGGATGTTTCTCAAAAAAAGTTTTGGACTATTTTGTGTAGAAGTTCTGAAGAACTATTTGTGGAGAGAAGCTTGGTTTGAGGCTTTTGAGAGAGATTTGAAGAAAAAATAGTTATACTAAGTTGACTACCATGTAGTAGTGCTAAATTATTATTGAGGGGGCACATCAAAATTATTTATGGATCCTTGATGTATATACAAATATTGATACATGGTTTTGGCCGAGGCTAACGAGTTCAGGTGACCCCTCTACTCGCCGTGTAGGTCTGAATGTATTATTACCTTTACATGTCGCATAATTAATCTAGAAAATAATTTCCAAAAAATTACAGAAAAAAAAAAAGTTGAGGACTGGAACTGGCCATTAAAGTTTCCAACCTATAAAGTTGAGAGGATCCATAAAACAAACTGTACTTTAATATGATATTGATTTAAGAGTTTTAAGCCAGTATTGTTGTTATAACAAGTAGCTAAAAAGTACCCTTTATATAAGACTTTGCTATGCTATTAATACAGGGAGGAAACAGAAATGTGTAGATTTATTTTCTTAATTTGCACTAACTATGTTTTGTATGATCTAAAATGTATGTAAAAAAAATTAATTTTCATAAAAAAATTTATAAAACAATTCATTTGATGAATAATTCATTTCTAGCATGGGCGGAGCAAAGGTTTTTTTGTTGAATCTCCTTGACATAAGAAACTACTATAGCGGCAAAGACTAATATGTTGATGAAAGCAAGTTATAAGAAATAAGAAATACGAACAATAACGGAGTAACACCACAATTTCCTGTTTCTATTAAATGAAAATTGTAAAATTAACTTTTACACACTTAAGACAAAAAATAGAAGTTTTTCCATCCAAGACGTTACGCAGAATATGGAAATGCATATGACAATAAAAGAGATCAACAAAGAAATAAGGGGGGCTGGCTATAAGATGAGAAACTTGCCTTGAAACTTCCTGATTGGAGTTTCATCAGTAAGAACTTGAGATTTCCATATTGGCGTCTCTCCATTAGTAGCAATCTCAAACCTTATACGATCTCCCTCTTTTAAGCAATTATCAGTAACAAGTTTACGCCATCCATCTCCCATATAGACTCGACTTTTGGAAGAACTTAGCTTTAATTTCCACGACCTTTGTCTATCATCTTTTATAATCAAATCACACTTCTTGTTGCTGAGACCATTTGCTTTTGCAAATTGTCGAGGAAGGGACTGACATGGTGTATAACCATTTGCACACATCAATAAACAGTTCTTATTCTTCATGTTTCTTCGACTATATAACACCAATTAACAATGAGAAAAATAAGAACATACTACCTTTATCCCAGTTGTAGAAACACTTTCAATCAAATGTGACATCCATCACTTGAAAAATCTTGATAAATAATGCAAAGTAAGCTAATTTTGGTTAAGAAGTAACGCATTAGACCCCCTTCGGCCATCGCCCCAGAGCTAAATCAGTATATGCAAGCCGAATTTCGACAATAAATCAACACTGTTTACATAAATTCATGCTCACACCATTGCTTTAGCCTAAAATTCAATAAGGTTTGATAGTGCATACAAAATGAGTATTGAGACTTACCAAGTAACCACGGAAAAGGCAATAAGGTTGGATAGTGCAGACAAAATGAGATTGACCAAAAGGCTTTTCATAAGTAGCTGCTTCTGCATGAGAAGAATCCTCGTTTATTGACAACTTGATACCGCGACTCGGTTTTTCTGTCACATTGACAAGAAATTAAATATGACAAATTAAATTACACATAAAAAATTATAATAGCATTATATATCCACCCAACCTTTAGGTTTCTGTTAGAAAATAAGCATCATTAGTGTTTATGTATTGTTTCCTGTACAAGTTTCATAATTAATCAAGAAAATAATTTCCATAAAAAACTTCACCTTTGAATTCAAATTTCTTGGAAATCTCTTCAACATTATTGGCTTCTTCTTGTTGTTGTCGCAAATACTCCGAATATTCTCTGTCGCAGTGACTTGAATCAAATATGGAAACTTCAAACTCCATGTTTCCTTCATGTCTGAACACCAATAAATCTCCTAACTGCAAATCATGCTCCTCTGCAAACTTTTCCCAACCTTCTTCTATATATCGGCCATTCACCTTCACCCGCCACTGCTTAATACCCCTTCTCAATACTGCACGTTCAATGTGTTCATGTACCTTCAGATACTTCAAGAAACCAGTAGGAATTTTCTGCAGTACAACAATAAGTATAATTAGTATAGCCTTGTCCCAAAATGACTAATATCTATTTCTAAAAAGTGACAATACTATTATCTACCCAATTAATCAATGAAAGAGTATTCATTTAGAACATCTAACATCCCCTACCTTCAGCTCTATATCATACATAAAGCAGATATATATATAACAAAAGATGAAAAGAAGTTTTAACGTATTACTCACAAGTCCATTCTTGAAACCTGGCAGAATGGGTTTGAAAAAATGAGGTTTCTTTGGAGGGATTTTCATGGCTGCCAAGAATATGTAATTACAGAGGAGAAGAGGTGTTCTTTTTGTTTTTCCTTAGATAGAATGAAAGAATTCAGGGGAAACTAAATAGTTGCAAGGGAACTTAAAAGTTACTAATGGAATTAATATGTCAGATGGCCTTTTCATATTCAGAGGACAGTGTAATCCAATACCAATAAATGCAGCATTAATAGTGCACTTTAACATACTTGAAGGACTAATACTGCACCACTTTATATTTAAGTGCCATTTTGAATCAAAGTCCAAACTTACGGGACGATGTTGTGCCTTTTATCAAGATTTTACATATAATAGATCTTTTTTCATTTATCAGACTAACTAGTATCCTAATAATATGGTTAAATTAGAGATGTGATTACAGCATAGCCAAATTCTGGATGTAATTAGACTGAAAGAGGTTTCATGAACGTTCCACGATACGAATGGCAATAGACAAGAATCCAAAAGGCTACCTTAATCTAATTACTAATCATGCATGAACGGATATTCTCAAAACAGAAGTAGAATACACCATATATAGAAAGTAGGTTTCTGTGAGATTTAGCAACATGAACTCTCTTCTCCCCGGTCAGAAAGAAAACTAGGTATATATATAAAAAAATTAGACATACAAGGAGTAATGTGCTGCAATGTCATATTTAGTGCATGGTTTACATTAGTACAAACTAGTGGAACTACACAGTGGTGGGTGGTGGACCCATAGATAGGTCGTTACAAAAAGTAGGGCCGGGAAGATTGCTACTACCTAGTACATGGCTAAGATGTATCTTGCCCAACAGATCCTCCTTCCCGGAGTAAATTCACAACAAAAGATGGTGGATCGTCGAAAAGGGTGATGGAGTTTGGGCGTATCAGACTACAGCAACATGAAGAAAACGCAAACTTCAATATTTACCTGGGAGGCTTACATTTCACTAGCTTCAGTGCTGATTTCCTTGCCCATCACCAAAAGCTTCGATTTCTTAGCTTCTCTGAATCTTGACATCCTTACCAGAATACTTACCTGAATTATTTTTAAACAAAACATTATATAATCATATAAGTCTGATGAAGATCATTTATATGGAAAATGTCATAAAGCAATCCTTACGCAATTTGAAAGAGGACCAAAATCTCATGGACATAAAATAAAATGAGAAATTTTGGTACCTTTTGCAGCGGATAAATAAGAAACTGACTGCAAGTCCCACAAATTTTCGCAGGGAAACAGATCTAGTCTTTTCACAATCTAAATACAAATTCATCAAAGTTTTTTGAGATGTAGGGAACAGAACGCAACTTGGAGAGATATAGTTATCTTTTATCACTAAAAGTTGAACTCAACTTTCATATCAGATATAGTCAAATAGAAGTTACCTAAACTTACTTCCCCAACTCCCTTCTTTATTCTCTCACCATTCACGGTCAGCTAAAAATTTACCAATAAAAGTGCAATGGACACTATTTGAAACCTTTAAGATTTTGTGTATCTTCAAAAGTTAACATAATATTTTAAAATCTCAGTGAAAAATTGTTTTCTGGTTCCAACTTCCATATTCTAATAATTGAAGGGACAAAGAGGAAAAACAACAACATATATACTAACATACAGGATGGTCATGAAACTCAAAAGGAGATAAAGAAATACTCACAATGGACATGCGCTATCGGTATTGTTGTCACGACCCGAATTTCCCATCCTCGGGAGTCGTGATGGCGCCTACTAATGAGAGCTAGGCAAGTCAATCCTTAACTACTTACTTCATTATCAAATTACTTCTTTTTAACAAATATAAGGCGATAACATGACCCCACTTGTGGAATTATACTGGGTCATTGTTGTTGTTGTTGTTGTTGTAAGGCGATAACATGAAAAACTGCGGAACCTTAAATAATTAAGCGGAAGATAACAATTAAACATCTGACATCTGCGTCTATTACAATTACTTAAGTCTCAACTACCCAAAACCTGGTGTCACAGTGTCACAGACGGTCTAAGATTTACTACATACAAAGTCTGAAGAAATAATAATACATTGTTTCTGACTGTAAGGAAAATGAAACAGGAAAGTAGGGATAGAGGGAGACGCCAGGGCCTACGGACGCCTGCAGGTCTACCTTGGATCTCCGCATGGACTGAAGGTAGCCTCCACACTACGGTCCAAAAGCTGCTCCGGCATTTGCACATGGTGCAGAGTGTAGTATCAGCACAACCGACCACATGTGCTGGTAAGTGTCCAGCCTAACCTCGGCGAAGTAGTGACGAGGCTAGGACCAGACTACTAAATAAACATGTGCAGTTCAAATATATATACAGCGGAAAAGAAATACAGAATTAATCAGTCAATATGGGAGGGGGAGCATGGTGTGGGGGAGATAACAATTCCGAATAGAAAGACATCAAGTAATGAAAGAACAGCATAACTCGGATATCAACGAATAATCAAAAATCAACAAATGCACGGCATCACCCTTCGTCCTCACCAAAGCAATCATATAATAAAAATGTACATGGCATCACCCTTCGTGCTTTTACTCTCTTTCCTCACCATATAATCAATATAATCGGCACGGAATGGTACATCGTGCAGCACGGCATCACCCTTCGTACTTTACACTCTTTCCTCACAAAACAAACAATACACGGCATCACCCTTCGTGCTTTACACTCTTTCCTCACAAAAACAAGCAATACACGACATCACCCTTTGTGTTTTAATACTCTTCCTCACCCAAACAACAATCACAAACAATGGGGCAAGGGAATAAACAAGATTATAATAGGAATCCCGGCAAGGGAATAAACAAGATTATAATAGGAATCTCGCGGCAAGGGAATAAACAAGATTATAATAGGAATCCCGGCAAGGGAGCAACATCAATAATATCAACATCCCGGCAAGGGAGATAACCAATAAAGCAACAATATCCCGGCAAGGGAACAATTTAATGACTTCTTTCTCTTATTTACTTTTACTTCACAACTCACTTTACCACTTGAGCCAATGCTCCAAAGGGTTCAATCAACTCATATATTTACACAATTCATAATATAACTTGAGCCAATGCTCCTCGATGTTCAAAGGTCACAATTCCTTCCACAAACTTTTCACAACAAATAGAAATCACCTCTAAAGCATGGATAATACAACGAAGTCAGGAAAATCACAATATAAAACTCACGGGCATGCTTGACACCAACGTATAGATACTCGTCACCATGCCTATACGTCGTACTCAACAAGAAGCAAATAGCAACTAGGACACAACTCCTAATCCCTCAAGCTAAGGTTAGACCAAACACTTACCTCGATGTCACGAACACAATTCACGATTCAACTATAGCTTTACCCATTGATTCCACCACCAATTCGCTTGTATCTAGTCACAAGTTACTTAATTACATCAATAAACGCTAAATGAATCAACCCCAATGCATGAAAATGAGTTTTCTAAAGTTTTACCCAAAAAGTCAAAAATCGCCCCTAGGCCCACATGGCCAAAACCCAAGGTTCGAACCAAAACCCGATTATCCATTCCCCACGAACCCAAATATATAATTTGTTTTGAAATAGGGCCTCAAATCGAGGTCCAAATCCCCAATTTTTGAAAAACCTAGGTTCTACCCAAAACACTCAATTTCCCCATGAAAATCATTGATTTTAAGTTGAAATCATGTTAAAAGATGTTAATGATTGAAGGAAATGAGTAAAATTTAACTTAAAATCGATTTGGAAGAAGAGTTGTTCTTGGAAAATCACCCAAAGGAGTTTGTGTTTTGAAAAGATATGAAAAATGGGTTTAAAATCGCCTAAGTATAAAGTTGCAGGTTGCAGGTCCAAGGTATGGGAAATGCGAACAGGGGTTCGCAACCTCTACTGGCTTGGGAATTGCGAAACAGGGTTCGCATTTGCGACTTGGGAATTGCGAAGACAGGGTCGCATTTGCGACCCAAGGCTGATTAGGGGAATTTCGCATTTGCGATCATAAACGTCGCATTTGCGACTGGCCTTTAGCATTTGCGAGCCAATTGGTCACATTTGCGATCAGGCCTGCCCAGGTCCCATTTTCGCATTTGCGATGGAGGTCTCGCATTTGCGATCCAGGCTTAACTGAAAACCTGCAATTTTTCTAAGTTCAAAATGCACTCCGTGGCCTATCCAAAACTCACCCGAGCCCTCGGGGCTCCAAACCAAATATACACACAACCTCAAAAACATCCCACGGACTTATTCGTGTACTCATATCACCAAAATAACATCAGAAGCATCGAATTAGACCTCAATATCAAAGAAATTTATCAAAACTTCTTAAATATCCAATTTTCCAATTAAGGTCCGAATCACGTCAAACGGACTCTGTTTCTTACCAAACTTCACAGATCTATCTTATATCATATATAAGACTTGTACCGGGCGCCGGAACCAAACTACGGGCCTAATACCAACATGCTCTAATCAAAATTCATTTCCAAATCTTTTAAACAATTTCATAAAACAATTTCTTTCAAAAATTCATTTCTCGGGCTTGGGACCTCGGAATTCGATTCCGGGCATACGCCCAAGTCTCATATTTTCCTACGGACCCTCCGGGACCGTCAAATCACGGGTCCGGGTTCGTTTACCCAAAACGTTGACCGAAGTCAAATTAATTCATTTTATAGTCAAAATTTATCATTTTTCACAGATTTTCACATATAGGCTCTCCGGCTACACACCCGGACTGCGCGCGCAAATCGAGGTGATGCTAAAAGAGCTTTTTAAGACCTCGAAAAGTAGAATTCATTTTAAAACAAGTGATGACCTAAAACAATTGTGCCATTGTTTATAAGTTCAAACTTATACGTCTCCTACTTGAAGACCATTTGCTTTCATGAACTGTGGCAATCCCTTTTTAACTCCAAAGTGATGTCCTATCGGCCCTAGCCACACTGACCATGATGTATGTTTTTCATCTATGAGAATCATCTCACAGTGTCTATTCATCAAGCCAGTTGATTTTGCAACAGCCAATGGAAAATACTGCTCAAATTTTATCCCAATATAGAGATCAATGCCTCGTTGTCACAAAAAAGGAAACTAGTATTAACATTTTAACTGAAATTTATTCTAATCACTTAGTTCATAGAGAATTGAACAGAAGCTGTATGTATGTTGTAGACTCAGTGGTTTATATCTGTCGGTAAAAAGAAAAATTCAGCCAAATTACTTTTAAAGATGAAATTTAGCACACTAGACTATAAGGACAAACTTTAAAGAGCAACCTTAAAGAAAAAGTCATACAGCGCAAATATTCCACATAGTTTATACAACCAGAACCAAGACATACTATTACTGAGTAATTGGGACCTGGAACAAAAGCTGGCTAGGCCAGTCATTACTTCCAAGTCTTTTTAGGAGTAGTAGTTTTCAGACATTTACTTACCTTACATGGAAATTTTTATAAGAAAACATTATACATACTTTTTGAGGTTATGCACATATATTGGATCAACAAAATTAACCAAAAGTCAAGTTGCTTCAATGTTCCTCCCCTATTCCAGAATATCTGCCTGCAACATATATTACCATGAAAGTTGTTACAACATCAGCTAGGGAGGCCCATTACAATGTTTTCAATATAACATCCTTAGTAATGTTACATAATTTCACACTATAGCAAACATGTAAATACCTTTTAAAATAACTATTTGCAAGAAATAATAACACAATTATGAGAAACATTAAATAGAAGCCATGAAACTGTAAAAATCAATTTGCAATTACCGACCTGATTGTGTGAATATTCTTTTACAGCGTCAATTCATAGAACTTAAACTCGACAAGACAACAACAACAATACCAACAACAACAAAAAAAAACTAGTGGAATCCCACAAGTGGGGTCCAGGGAGGGTGGTGTATATGCAGACCTTACCCCTACCCTACGAAAGTAGAGAGGTTGTTTCTGATAGTCCCTCAGCTAAAGGAAGATGAAAAGAAATAATAATAACAAGCAATATCAACAACAAATGCCAGAAAAATAATAGCAACAATCTAAGCTCGACAAAAATATAATAAAATTGGAAGAACACTTACAATGGAAGTGAGCTATAGGTATTTTCTCATTCTTGATGAGTTCAAATTTGTAAGCATCTCCAACTTGGAGACCTTTTGCTGCTCTGAATTTTGCCCATCCACTTGTAATTCCAAAATGACGTCTACCCGCTAGCGGCCCTAATCGTACTGACCAAGATCTCTGTGCTTCATCTTTCAGAATCATCTCACACTTTCTATTCATCAACCCACTTGACTTTGCAAAATGTCGTGGAAAATACTGCCATAAAAGTTATTCAAATATGTAGAACAAGTTCAGTCATCACCAAAAGAAGAAAAAGAAAAGGACAACAATCAAAAGCGTTTAAGTTCTGTGAACTGATAGTGTATAAATTTTACACCATTAGGTTAAGTTGCCTACAATAACAGGTAAATGTTGTAACCAAGAAAATAGAGAATAGCCTGCTATAATAAGTTAAATTACGCTTTCTTTACACTGTTAGTGTGTATAATTAACTTAAACTCCAACAAAATCAGTTCAAATCACTTACCAAAACTGGCTTGCTGATGCAATAAGGTTTAATGATTGCAACAAAATACGGAGGATCATCGTCACCGGAAGTTGGAGTAGATACTTGTGCATTGAGAGGAATCATGTTTGAGGGCTTTTTCCTAATGTTTGTTGCTCCTTATAAAGAAAGAAAATAGCAAAAGAAAGAGAACGTAATGAGTAAGTGTTACAATTAAGATAAAAGCAAGATCATATTACATAAGGTTTCCAAATAATAAGGAAACGGCTAAAAAAGCAAGAATGGTGTAACAAAAATGAAGTTTAATGATTTAAAATTTAGTTTGACAAGATTCCAGAACAAGTAGAGCTGTATTAACTGCATTATGCTGTCAATGCATACATTAATAAAAGTTACAACATATTCTAAATCGCCACTGTCCCTCAACTTACAAAAGAAATGAAGAAATTCAATGCCAAGCCAACAGAGAAAGGATAATACACAGAGAAAGGATAATACACTGCAGCAGAGTTTAATTGGTAGGATTCTGGAGTATATAACAAAGTAAAAGGATCGTATAAAAATTAAGAGGTTGCTTAAATCAGAAAACTTATGATGAAACTTCGATCATAAAAAATACTCCTAAGAGGTTGCTTAAATAAGAGAATTTACGACAAAATTTCCAGATTGGTTTTCTCCATCAGTAACAACCTTAAAAATCATATGATCTCCCACCTTTAAGTCATTTGCGGCATGGAATTCACGCCATCTACCTCCAAGATAGACTTGAGAACCGTAGGTAGTTAGCCTTAAATTCCATGACCTTTGTTTTTCGTCTCTAATAATTAAACCACAATTCTTGTTGGTGAGACCATTTGCCAATGCAAATTGAGTAGGAATACGCTGAAATCATTTATAATAATTTGCACATTTCATCACTTATGCATCACATTTTCACCATAAATAACTCCGACTGAAGAAAAAAAAAGAGGAAAAAAAAGGATTCTTGAAGGGTTATAGGGAAATGAGTTTGGAGACTTACAAAGTAACTGTTTGACAGGCATATGGTTTAGCAGTGTATACAAACTGAGATTGACTAAAAGGGCTGTGACTAGCAGCTTCTGCATTGGGAAAATCCTGGCTTGATGACAGAATGCAGGGCTTTGCTTTGTCTGTTATATTGTTAATTATAAGCAAATCCATGCCAAGACATCATAGCATGACAAAAGAGAGTTACCATTATAGGAGTCGTTTGGTATACTGGTGGGATATCCCACGGGGTTAGTTATCCACCTGCTATATATGGGATAGCTAATCCCACCCTTTTAGTGTAATAGTTATCCCGGATTAGCTAATACCTCAAACCAAACATGGGATTAAGTTAATCCCAAACTTTCTTCCTAGATTATCATTCTTACCCCATGTACCAAACGATCCCTTATAGTTGAGTAACGTGTAAACATCCACCCCCTCTTTTGGCTAACTTTTAAACAAAAATTAAACTCTAATTTTAAGACTAAAAGAATTCATTTGCATATTCATCAAGTATACACTAATGGACACTAAGATCTTACCTTTGAATTCAAACAATAAAGATGTTACTAAACCACAACAAACATACAATTTATCCAAACATTGTATCCACAGTAGAATGTAAAATGCAAAATTATGATACGACGGATAATAAACATCCAAACAAGCTGTAAAGATCTTACCTTTGAATTCAACATTATTGGCTTCTTCTTGTTGTTGCAGATACTCTACATATTCTCTATCACAATGACTTGAATCGAATATAACAACCTCAAACTCCATATTTCCTTCATGTCTGAACACCAACATATCTCCCAATTGCAAATCATGATGTTCTGCAAAATCAGACCAACCCGCTTCGAATCGATAGTCATTCAGCTTGACCAACCACTTCTTACCATCCCTTCTCAATATTGCATTTTCAATATGGTCATGTCCCTTTAGATACTTCAAGAAACCAACAGGAATTTTCTGAAGTACAATATAAACTTAGATTAGCCTTTTCCCAAACTTTTGGGCAGGAAATTGTACTAACTATCATACATGCAAACAATAAACAATTAAAAATTGTTCATATGGACCATGCTTTTTATTTTCTAGGGGCTTTTTACTCGGAGGCGGATTTAAAATTTCTAGTATATGAGTGCATTATTCAGAAAAAGGAGGAAAAAATATATTAGGTGGACCAATTTTAAAAAATATATACATAAAATATCTAATTTTATAAAAGACTGATGAGTTCCATAATTTTCGTTCTAAATCCGGCCGTGCTTTTAGCTCTGTGTCATACACGCATATAATAAACAAAAGAAAAGATGAAATGCATATCATACTCACAAGACCATTCTTGAAACCAGGCAGAATTGGTTTGAAAAAATGAGGTTTCTTTGGAGGGATTTTCATGGAAGCCAAGTATATATCTCTTGTTTAACTCTGTTTTTTTGTGAATAACATACTGAAAGGTGTAACTTCTGTTCATTGGGACGCAATAATTTGGTAAGTTAAACTTGAAAGGTATGATAAACTTGAAAGGTATGATTTTTAGTGGAATTTACTGACAGCAAAGGCAGCTTTTCCAATTCAGTGGACTGTGTAAACCAATAAAAAGACATCATACGACACATTCAACAAAGACAAAATTTTCAAGAATCCCAACGAAAAAGTTGAGAGAAATGGTGTAAGAGGACAAAGGAACAAAGCAAGGCAAAGAGGACAAAGGAAGGCAAAGATCAGCATAAATGAAATATTTTACAGTCGTCGGAAGTGGTTTAGATCCCTGTGTTATTTGGCTAAGCACATTAAGCCTTTAATTAATATAACCGTGTAATTTTAGTCCTTTAGACTAACAGAAAGTTAAAACTTAATAGTATTGTAATATTGTGGTTTAGATCCCTGTGTTATTTGGCTAAGCACATTAAGCCTTTAATTAATATAACCGTGTAATTTTAGTCCTTTAGACTAACAGAAAGTTAAAACTTAATAGTATTGTAATATTGTGGTTTAGATCCCTGTGTTATTTGGCTAAGCACATTAAGCCTTTAATTAATATAACCGTGTAATTTTAGTCCTTTAGACTAACAGAAAGTTAAAACTTAATAGTATTTTATTTAAAAATACAAAATATTAATTTAAAAAAAAATAAACTAACAATATTTTATTAAGTTAAACTTTCTGTGAAATTTTTAAATTTTAAACTAATAGAAAATTAAATTAATATCCTCATTTCCAACCAAGAGGTTGTGAGTTCGAGTCACCCCAAGAGCAAGGTAGGGAGTTCTTGGAGTTAAGGATGCCGAGGGTCTATTTGAAAATAGGCTCTCTGCCCCAGGGTAGGGGTAAGGTTTGCGTACACACTACCCTCCTCATACCCCACTAGTAGAATTATACTGAGTTGTTGTTGTTGTTATTGTTGTCTCTTCTTTTTAAACTAACAAAAAGTTAAAAATTAGTTTCTTCAACTTTTCATCTTTCTTACGGGAGAGATTTTGAAAGAGCAATATTTAATTAGTTAGAGGAAAATACTTCTACCACTCTCTCGTCCATGTTAAGTTAAATTTTCTATTAAGTTTTTAACTCTCTATTAGTTTAAAAAGAAGAACATGTATTAATTTTAAAAACTTAATAAAAAGTTCAACTTTATAAAATATTGTTAGTTTAAATTTTTTAAAATTAATTTTCTGGTTTAAAGGACTAAAATCACTCGGTTATATTAATTAAAGGTTTAATGTGATTAGCCACTTAACACAGGGACCAAAACCACAATATTGCAATAACTAAGGGACTAAAAGTACTATTTTCTCGGCGGATTTTATCATAAATGGTGGATTTTGTGGGAGGGTTAATCCAAATTTCGAGGGGAGTCAAAGCCCAAAGGGAAGTAAAACTAACGACGCTATATTTTTTTGTGGAACCTTTGATTTTTTCGAAAGAATTTTTACATTACTATGCCACATAGTAAACCTTATTATCCTCAATGTTTAAGGTTTGACTTAATTACACTTAGTATACCAAATTACCAATTCTATACCATAATTAATTAAGGGTATAATTAATTGTACATTTTTTACTCCTTAATTAAAGGAATCTGCACGTTTCTCTCTCCTAACCCCTCAGTCCCACCTACGTTTTACCTATACCCGCGTTCCTTTTACCATTTTCCATCTTCTGAAACCAAATTCTCCCTCTAAATTCAAAGAAAATTGAAGAAACCCTTTAACAAAGTTGGTTCCCCATTTTACTCTAGTGGAAGTTCATCAAAATTGAAGTCAAATCTTCAAAGTTCATACACACATTTACCTTCAGCTTCAAATTTTCTCAATGAAGAAGAACAAACCTTCAAAGAGATAAGAGAGCAACAATTCCACCATTGATAGCCATTAAAAAGCTTTGAAGTTTTGAATTCAAATTTGGGTTTTCAAAAATCATTATTTGTTTTGATTGGGTGTTGTTGTAAATAATTGGGAATATATTTTGGAGTTTATATCTCAATTTTGAGGGGTTTTGGTGAAGATTTAGACTTGGTTTTGGCTGAATTTCAGATTGAAACTCGAAGAAGAAGAAGAAGAAGAAGAAGAAGAAGAAGAAGACATATTGCAGAAATTATAGATAAATTGTAGTTATAGTTGTGAGCACGTTATTTTTGCCTTACGAAAACTACTCCAAAAATAAATCAAAAATAAAATAAATTTCTGTTAGTATGCAACTTGTGAATTTGCGTGGTGTTTGTTAAATATTTGTTTTATGTCCGTAAATATTTACGTTGTCCTAATAAAATGAAAAATAAAATAAAATACATGTTGCATGCATATCTAGGATTTAATTATGCATT